TCCCTACATCTACATCCATTCAAAATATCGCTTTTAGATCTGGCAAGCTGCTTCACCAAGAATCGATTGTTTCACATGCATTTAAATGGGAGAAAAACAATGTTGCCAGCTTTTAAGAATAGCCAGTTTGACTTTTAGCGTTTTCATACATGGACCACATTTTGCAATAAGGAACTACTATTTCTTGCTCATTTTAGAAACATCATATATGCCTTTGCTTTCCCTATGCAGAAAGGTGCTTTCATGGCGAAGAGCCAGAGATAGTGGTTCCTTATTGCAAAATGTAATCTATATGTGGGACAAATCAGTTCAGCAAGATCACAGTTAACATCGGATATCGTCCTTATTTGTGAACCTATAAATGCATTTTCCTGACTCTTAAAAGTCTCAGACCACAAAATGACATGTCGGTTGCGCGTGTAATTGATAGACAAACATGTCCTCTTATTAACGTAGTGAACACGACATTTTGCGGTCTAAACGTATCAGTATTGATAATTTTTCATATTTCTTTGGTGAATTAATGTACGATAAGGGACATGAACGATCTTCACCTATTCTCATTTTTTATTGTGTTATCTTTCCATTGATTTGCACCTAATCTTTAGAAACGTTGAAAACTACATCGATGATACTACTGTTTCCTTTATCACGAAATCACCACCTTACATACCTCTACATAACTTTTAAGCTTGTTCGTACATGCTTACATTTTTCGGTTTGCTTTTTTTCATTTCCAAAAAGAAATTATTGATTTCTGAACCTGTTAAAATTGACCTGTGAAAACCTGCCTGTGTTAAATTTTGCCGCGGCAAATAAGTTATATCACTCAAAATTACAAGATATGAAAATGAATCGTTCCCTGCTCTTAAAAAATAAAATCTGGAGAGGTGTGGCAACTCTGCAAATGAAGTGTACTAAAACAGAAAAAGTCTAACTGCTAAGATTTAAAAGACGCGTTGGTTTCAATAATTATGATCATTGAAATGCACCACTGAAAAGATGATTTTTTACCGTGACGTTTTTTTTGGAGAGTTCTTGATACATTTAGATGCAAGCCATGAGCTTTTCTGCCGTGCTAAGGAAGAACGCCGTATGAGCCTTCAGACGTTGCCAAGTTTCCTACGATAAAAATCTAAATTACTGGGAAAATTTTGAATATTATTTTCTCAAATTTTCAGACAATTTCGTACACAATTTAATCTAAAATATCTGAAAATTTCAAGGAAAAATATGTGTGAATTTTGTCAAAAATACAGATTTTATCACGGAAAATTTGGCAACGCTCGAATGTTCATACGGCGTTCTTCCTTAGCACGGCAGTTTTGTCTCATCTTCATCTTCACGTTGGCCTCCAAAAGTACAATGCTCCAAAATCTCTAAGTTCCGAAACAATAGCTCTGCAGAGCAAGGTTGCAAAATCGAAGGGAAAATATTGATTTTCGATCAGATTAAAAAGGAAACTTCGGTATACTCCGACCATTTGACAACACTGTCGTCACATCTAATGGGGCAGATTACTCTGTGTCTAATCCACGCGGCGAATTTAAGTCGCATTGATTCATAAATCAGTTTTTAATGACACTGTAGACAATAGACCGGATCAAAACGGTACTTTCCTCGATGTTGTCGGTTTGACGATCGGGAATTTCGTCGTGCTAAGAAAGAATGGCGTATGTGAATTCGAGAGTTGCCACATTTTTACCAATAAAATATTTATTTTTGAGGAAAATTGTTCGCTGAGAAATTTTTGAGAAAAAACGTTTTTCTACCAATTTTTCAGATAATTTTGTTCGCAAGTTCACCTTAATTTCCTGAAAAGTCCGAGGAAAAATATCCACGATTTTCTTTAAAAGTAAACATTTTATTGGAGGAAATTTGGCAACTCTCGAATGCTCATACGGCGTTTTTTCTTAGCACGGCAGTGTAGTGGACTTACTTCTCTCCGAAAAAATAAAATACCAGCAGATATTTTAAGACAGTTAATTAAATAAAAGACAGCAATGGGGAAACGTAGTTTCGCACTTTAGTTATCCATCTGTTGTTTTAATGACAAGCCAGGAGTAGTTCTTCCTCATATTTCAAAATGCAGTTTATCTTTACCTCCTGCAGGGATTTCGAATCTTATTGACTAAATGGTATAGTTAAGTCATGTTTATGAATGAAACCTTTAGTAACACTTTCCATGGCCCCGCCACTTTTTAAAATCTGACTGGATGTTATTGAGGTCGGTTAAAGTATAGAGCTTCGCGGCTTCTATGCGTAAAGGAATCAGCACAATCATGCGAAAGATACTTATAATGTTGAATCTGTTTGAACTCTGAGTCGCTTAGAAATAAATGCCTATCAAAGCGCCTGCGCTGTACACTTTTTTTTCTTCGTCATAGCATTCTGATGAAATGATCTCGCTTTGACGTCAATGCATCAAAAATTATCAATAAATTTGCTGTATCAATCATCGAGTATAATATGATCTATGAACTATCATCTTCATTTCCGCCAGCGCTTTCCTATTCTGCCGTGCTAAGGAAAAACACCGTATGAACATTCGAGAGTTGCCAAATCTCCTGCAATAAAATGTTTATTTTTGAAGAAAACCATGGATATTTCTCCTCGGAATTTCCAGGAAATTAAGGTGAACCAAATTGTTTGAAAAATTGGAGGGAAACCGTTTACAAATTTCCCCGGAAATTCGTGATTTATGAAAGGAAATTTGGCAACGCTTGAAGGCTCATACGGCGTTCTTCCTTAGCAGGCGCACAATAGATTGAGTCAATCAGAGAGATCGGACATGACATTTTTGACTAAAATTGCAAATTTTGATGTTTATACCGTCACATTTTAAATTTAAAGGGATTCCTCCATTTTGGCCTCAACTTGAGAGCTTTTTTTGCGCTTGGGAGTTGATTTCAGAGAAAACTAGTGGCACCATTGTGTTTCCCGCGAACTTTTACATCAGAATCAATTGTCAAATCGCAAATCCCTCACACATGCAACATCTCCATTTGTACGTTTATTTCATCACATTTTAAATTTTAAGGGGTGCTTCAGGAATAAAATTTTACGAGGAATCCAATGGAACCGCTTTTAGAACCACCAAGTTTCGTATAAACGGAGTTATAAGTGTTTAAAGTTTCCAAATTTTGTCATACCTCTCCCATTGACTCGATCCATTGTGAGACACACCCAACGATTGTTCTATTTTTCACCAATATAGAAAAACAACATACATCGAGAGCGAAAAAAAGTGCCTTGTATCGAAGACCCAAATAGTAATATCCACTTTAAATGGAATCTTATTTTACGCAGCCAAAGAAATAAAATGTCCCTGTAAATATTAAGCATCTCCGAATCAAGAAAAACAACCCTGGTAAAAATTGGCAATAGAATCTGTGTTCCAAAATACCACAGACCTACAGCCGGCTGTAAGATTTCCAATCGCTTCTATAGCCGGTAACACAATTTCTTATAGCCATTTATAGCCGATGGCGATTAGGCAACAGCCTGGCGATAAAGTGTATGCTAAACGTTACTAATTGCGGATGCTAGGACTTAGAGAGTTTTTGGACTACCGCTCTCTTTTTCGGGTGTAGTAAATTGATTTATTTTGCGAGGAAAGCTCCGTACTTTTGAAGGATGCCTGCCATTCCTAATATGTTGGAGCGCCTTCAATTTCGTATGATACTGTGCAATACTTCTGGTGTGAAATAGTTGCTTCAAGCGCCGTGGTACGCTGCGGCGCGGCGCGGCGGGCGGGCAGCCAGCGCGAAACGGCGCCTACAAACCTAATAACAGGGATACTTCACGCATTGCGCAATGCGTGCAGTATCCCTGTCAGGTTTGTAGGCGCCAGTGCGCCGCTGCTCCGCTTTGTCTTAGGTTCTAATATTTTATCTCGGGGAGTCTGCGTTTTTCAACTCATGACTTTGCAATGTTTGCACACTCTGTATGGATTATTCTCATTTTAATTGATGAAAAAAAAATATGTAGTAAAGGAAAATATAATGTGCGTTTTGTAAATATGAAGGTGATTCCGTACAAACTTAAGGATTCACAAAGCACACGAATTTCTACACAATATCTCATAGCCTTTTATAGCCGATGACGAAAAAGCAACAGCCAGGCGATAAAGTGTAAAGCCCGGCGACAGGAACTATTGCCCGGCTGTATAATTTTTTCCTTTTTCTACAGCCAGCGATATGATTTCCTATCGCCTTCTTCAGTGGGCTATAAGAACTCCTATGGTATTTTGAAACGCAACTTCTATCGCCAATTTTTACCAGGGAATTTTGAACAGTAAAAAAAACTTAAAATTTATTCTGAATATTGAGTCTTAAGGAGGAATGTAACTTTAACCTTCATTTTTTAGTTCAAACTCGATTCCAATTGGTGAGTTATTGTCAAAACAGGTTTCAAATAATTTTTTTTTTTTTTTTCAGTAAAAATACAGGCGGGTCGAACATTCTGAAACAAAAGAGTCGAGATTTATCGATGACCAAAGTACGAAACCGCGTAGGCACCTCCGTTTGAAATATTACAAACTTCCTGTCTTAATTCATTTTTTCCTTGGAAAAATTGTCCGTGTGGATGATTTCCAAGAAAAAAGAGATGGGTGCACTTACTTGAGGATCCACCCCCGTAATATAAAGGGGTAAATTAAAGGGTGTAAATTATAGCGGCATTGGTTCACAGATCTGTAACTACTAAGGATAAAAATTTAAAAATTCAAATCTTCGCACAACTTCTTTCTAAAAAAAAGAAAGAAAATTACTCCAAACGTTGTTGAATAATACGATACGTGTTTATGGCAACATTTGAATAAAAAACCCATGAGCAGAAATGCCTCTTAAAAAATAATAATTGTGAGTAATGTTAGTTGAATTCGTTTTGTCGGAGAAGTTATTCTTTTGCTTCGTGGGGCTGTTACTGATACGACGAAGCATTCATACTTAAGGCGTCATGTTACATCATTCTACAAATAATCTGATAAAACAACAATGTAGTTTGTGAGCTCAAAAAATTTTGTTTCAAGGTCTTTTTACATCGTCTGGCTATGAATTAAAGGAAATAATCTCTCTCCATCTATTTCTTAAGAGTATGAAGCTGGACTCTGAAGTCAAAGTAGGTACATTGTTTTCTGTGCACAACTGATGTTGGGCACATTTTGTTCTCAATTCGTCGGATATTAGTGCTTCAGCGATTTAATAGTGCCATACTTAAATCAAAGGATGGTGGAAAAATGTCTTTTATTTTGGAGAATATTAGCTCATTACATAATGTGACATGCTTTTCACGATGAATCGTGGATAAGGTAAAAAAAATTTCTCTACATTTTTTTCTTCACTGATGATGATGTGCTTTTTGACAATTCGTTCGTCGAAATTAATAAGCAAATTTTATCATCTGAATAAGTTACACCTTCTTTTTTTTGTCCGCGTCCTTTGAAATAAAAAAATACATGAAAAACTCGTCTATTTTGATGTTACGTGACCTTGGCCATGTTTATTGTTTATATGCCCTCTCTAGCGAGTCCTTCCGAAAACTGCACTTTTTCGGGAGCTCTCGACTTGAGCTTGGCCTCGCGAACTAGTTCCAGTTTTGCTAGCGATTCGACTTGTCCTTCGCTTTCCTCGACCACTGCGCAGTCACAGCTTTTAGCCTTGCCTTTTGGATTTTTGCTCTTCCAGCACCTTGGTCTTTTTCTTTTGCTCATTTTTTTCATCAGCATCCTGGTAAAGTTTATGATTTGCTTTCCACTCTCTCTCTCTTTCTCTCTCATTTTCTTTAGTTTTTAGCTATCACTCGAGACAGCACTTTGACGAGTGAGCAGTTCTGTTTTCTTTTACGCGCAGTCGCAGGTGTTTTGTGTTCTCATTCTCTCTCATTTGCATTACGCCGTCGCCGTGTAGTTAGCTTTACGCCTTCGCACACTTGTGATGAGTTTTGAGTTATGTTTTTACGCCGTCGCCACGCCTTTTAGTATGCCTAGCTAAGCACCACATTTTGAGCCGCGGACATGTGAGTTTGCCATGGGGCTTCCGCCCCCCTACGCTTTAGACTTGGCCAGCCGCCATCCATTCTAGCCTTATTATCAGCATGTGAGTAGTTGTTGTATATTTGCGGGGGGTATCCAGGTTAGGTTTAGTTTTCTCTTTCTCTAGTTTGCCATTTTCCTTCTTCTCTTAGGTTGTTTCGCCCTTTTACCCATAAAAGGTCGTGGTCCCTCGTGCCATTTTCTCTGCCATTTAGCCACTTTCTTCTCTTTCCTTCATTTTCTTCTCATGCCATTTAGAGGGTCGGATAGGGGCCGCAGTCCCCCCGATTTCGACTTTCCTCATCATTTTTATCCTCAAAAATATGAATTTGATACGTTTTCAACCCCTGCCCAAATCCTAAGTGTAGTTTAATCGTAAACGACATAAACGTGCAAAGCTTTTTCGGTTAAATATTTAGATCGAGTTCCGTAAGAAGGGAACCAGGAGCATGCGCATATTGATCAAATCTCCTAACTCCATGAGGCAGCCAACAGCAAATAATATGATTCTAAAATTAATAAATGAAAATGGTGTCCCATTCGCCGAGATGCAAGGCGATGTGGGACAGCATTGATGGTAACGCCTGAATCAAACATGCAACTATGACTACTTATGGGTTGTCAATGTTGCATATCCAAAAACTAAAGGCGTTCAAACTTGCCCGGCATTTCCAACACACTGATTTAGACATTGCTCGGATATTCATGTGACATAAGAGTAAGGGGGAAAAGGAGGTAAAGGAAACCGGAATTAATTCCTAGGTGTGCGAATCCTATTGATGTGGTGGCATGGGATCCTCAATTATTTTCAGCGGTAATGTGTATTTACCTTCATAAGTAATGTCTTCAATGGCAGTAGATTCGGTTTCAAGTATCGTTCACTCCTCCGAGCGAGATGGTGCAAAATGCTCACGAAATGGATTGTATTTAGGTGCGGTGGGTTTCCGCGTATTTTGGTACAAAGGCCATCCTGTCATGAAAAAATTTACAGCATAAATAGTTAGGTTATATTTCTCGGCAAACTTGCGAGTCGAGAACTTGTACCTCTGCTTGAACAATCTGCGAACATAAAAGGAGAACATTGTTCAAAATAAATATATTCTTAAAGCTGGCTGAGTGGCTAGACTCAATGATATTTCAGGGCCGTCATGGGTCTGGTGCACGTGAGATTTAATTTACATAGACTTTTTAGAAGTAAATAGAATCATACACTAGAAAATGTTGCGAAATTGTTTGATTATTCAGGTAAAATTTCCTCTTGTTTCTCTCTTGAGATACCCGACTGTCGGCCACTGTGGAAAATGCCCACAGACGTGGTAAATTAGAAGATGCGTATTACAAACCACACGCAATTTTCCGCCAACGGATATTTTTCAGAATTGTTTCATGTCACTAACGTTATTTTCGAGCAATTCTACATTTTTTACCGTATTTCCTGCGTGCGACAGATCCATTAGTCGAGCAGTTGCAAAATTTGATATTAATAAGCACGGTTTTGCTAGAAAGATGGGGATTTGCATCTAACCGTTTAACGTAATATTATTTAGGTATTGTATGGCTCTTCCTGTACAAAATTTCATAAATTTCCTAATTTTTCTGGCACGGCTTTTCATTTTCCCATTAATACAGGTCCAACATACATTGCATTGGTTTCCCTGGTAAAAATTGGCAGTAGAATCTGTGTTCAAAAATACCATAGACCTATAGTCGGCTGTAAGATGTCCATAACTTCTATAGCCGGCAACACGATTTCTTATAGCCTCTTACAGCCGACGGCGATTAAGCAACAGCCTGGCGATAAAGTTTATGCTAAACGTTACTAATTACGGATGCTAGGACTTAGTGAGTTTTTGGACTACCGCTCTCTTTTTGGGCCGCAGTATCTTAATTTAATTTGCGAGGAAAGCTCCGTACTTTTGAAGGATGCCTGCCATTCCTAATATATTGGAGCGCCTTCAATTTCGTGTGATACTGTGCAATATCTCTGGTGTGAAATAGTTGGTTCAAGCGCCGCGGTACGCTGCGGCGCGCGGCGCGGCGGGCAGCCAGCGCTGAACGCGCATTGGCGCCTAAAAACCTAACAGGGATACTTCACGCATTGCGCAATGCGTGAAGTATCCCTGTTAGGTTTGTAGGCGCCAGTGCGCCGCCGCGCCGCGCCGCTCCGCTTTGTGTTAGGCTCTAAAATTTAATCTCGCGGAGTCAGCGTTTTTCAACTCATGACTTTGAAATGTTTGCACACTCTGTATGTATTATTCTCATTTCAATTGACGAAAATAAATATGTAGTAAAGGAAAATATAATGTGGGTTTTGTAAATATTAAGGTGATTCCGTACAAACTTAAGGATTTACAAAGCACAAGAATTTCTACACAATTTCTTATAGCCTTTTATAGCCGATGGCAACAAAGCAACAGCCAGGCGATAAAGTGCAAAGCCCGGCGATGGTAACTATAGCCCGGCTGTATAATTTTTTATCGCTTCGTGTAGCCCGGCCGTATGATTTTTTCCACTTTCTACAGCCAGCTAACACTTTAGGGGCTACGATCCCTCCTTTGGACACCTAAGGTGCTCCCCTAGCCTCTGTGAAACTCACCGCGCCGCGGACTTTCTCAAGTGGTCCCCCAACTAAGTCCTCCGCTGCCGTGCTAAGGAAAAACGCCGTATGAACATTCGAGGGTTGCCAAATTTCCCCGGATAAAACATGTATTTATAACAAAAATGCATATTCCTCCTTGAAATTTTCATATATTTTAGATTAAATTGCGTACAAAATTATCTCAAAAATTGGAGAAAAAACGTTCACAAATTTTCCCGAAAATTCGCGATTTATAAAAGGAAATTTGGCAACGCCTGAAGGTTCATACGGCGTTTTTCCTTATTACGGCAGTACGTATGCCCAACGTTGCTTAACCTCGATGATCAAACTTTTCATACAACTTCTTTCTTCATTCTTTTGATACAAACTTTTTCATTGTGCTTTTATCAGGCTGCTTTTATCTGTAAAAGCAGGAGGCATGTTGTAAAATATAATCTCTGTGTAGTTGTAAAATGTAATCTCTGTGTAGTTGTAAAATGTAATCTTTGTCGCTTGTCCATCTTGGTTTATCTCTAACCTTATCTAACTCTGTGATACCGCGCTAGTGTGATCATGCTAGTCCGGCATGTAAAAGTAATTTTAATAAAGTAATAAGTCATAAATCCAGTTCATTGAAGTGCAATTATTGGCTCCATCACCTCGATGAAATAAAACTTCAACATGTTTGCCGCTGCCGTGGAGCTCCAAATTCCAATGCCACACACGTCACGGAAGGGTAATTTTGCATTCATAAACGTCCCCAGCGCAGATTCTATGATTGGAAGCAATGGTGTTCTTAGAAACTTCTAAACATATTAAATTAAATAAATAAAATAAAATATATTGTCATAAATAAAATACAATATATTGTAATAAATAGAATAAAATATATCGTAATAAATAAAAAATATATCGTAATAAATAAAAAAATATACTAGAATAAATTAAATAAAATATATTAAAAAAAATAAAAAAATAAAATTATGTCAAGGAACGCAATTTTACACAATGAACCGTGCTATTCTTACATTTCTACAGGGGTATTTCTGCCCTCGAGCAGATCAGTTAATGTTGCTCTGATAACAAGTAGTAATAACTCTCCGGATCTTAAAATCAACGATTTTAAAGATTAGCAAAATTTGTAAACTGAATTTGCTATTTCAGCCTCCTCGTTGAGCTAATTTTACCGTTCATACAACACTTTTCTTTTTATAGCACCTCTAGGAATTTAAATCGTGACGAAAAACATCAAAATTTGCGGTTTTAGTGAAAAATGTCAAGTCCACTCGATCCACTGGTGTGGACCTGTCTCAAACCCATTGGCGGATCTAGCAAATCGGCAACATTGTTTTTCTCCATTCAAACCTATAGAAATGTATCGATTCTCGGAGGGGCCAGGTGCTCCGACAAGAATCGATTATTTAACATGGGTTCAAATGGAGGCAATCCGGTGTTGCCAAATGGAGATATTGCATGCGTGAGGAATTTGCGATTTGACTGCTGATTCTTATGCAAAAGTTCGCAAGAAACACGATGGTGCCACTGGTTTTCTCTGAAATCAACTCCCAAGCTCAAAAAAAGCTTTCAAGTTGAGGCCAAAATGGAGGGGATATCCCACGCTATCCTGAGAGTCCACCTCTACATCAAAACAAACTCTCCATGCAAAGATAGGGAGCAAATACATTAGCAGGGTTGCCGTGTTTTCAGTTTTGGAGTCCCCAAATGAAGTGGCAGCCCTGTCAATGTATTTGCTCCCTATCTTTGCATGGAGAGTTTGTTTTGATGTAGAGGTGGACTCTCAGGGTAAGGTCCCCCCCAAGGTAAGGTATCCCCTTCATTTTGGCCTCAACTTGAGAGCTTTTTTTGAGCTTGAGAGTTGATTTCAGAGAAAACCAGTGGCACCATCGTGTTTCTCGCAAGATCTTACTTAAAAATCAATAGTCAAATCGCAAATCCCTCACACATGCAACATCTCCATTGCTGGATCCGCCTCTGCTCAAACCAACGGAGCACCATTGCATAATCTGGAAATACAGCTACCTCATCCAAGCGTTGCGAATGAAAATTAAGGATGCTCCAAATCCGTTCCTAGACCTAGAGCTCAAATCTTACTCGCTCATCATGATGCGGAGGACACTCGCTCGAGCTCGCGATTGTATCGATTGGTGAAGAGAAATTTCCATACTAAACTTCAGCAAAATATCGATTTATTTGAGGTATATCGATTCTTGACGTCTCGGCCTTGGAACGTTCGTCCGATTACGGTGATAGCATTTACGTATTTAGGAGGGGTATGAAAAATAGTGCGAAAAATAATATCAGTGGCGTGGCGTGCTTTGCGATATATCGATTGTTATACATTTTAAACCTTTGGAAAAGGATCGATAAACGGGGTGTTTGCAGCGAACACCTTAATAATCGATTCTTTACCATAGGTTTAAACGAAAAAACAATTGAAAAGTGTTGACAGTCCGCTAGTCCATCGTATCCAGACGTATTAAGTAAGCGAGAGCGCCTTCATCTCTTGTGCATGCAACACTGACACCCCTTCAGCACCAATAGTCGCATACAGACGCGACGTTGCCATTGAGTAAGCCAGATCGCTTTGAATTTTTGGTGCATTTAGCTCACCTTTCATTCTATCATAGTTCACTCCTACCGATCGCCAATATAAGTTTGGTCAAGGCAGTGGCGTGCTTTGCGATATATCGATAAATCTGTCATTCACACCTACAGAAAAGGATCGATAAACAGGGTGTTCGCAGCGAACACCTTAATAATAGATTCTTTACCATAGGTTTAAATGGCATAACAATCGATCCATCGCAATTTATTCACGCCAACGCCTTTGAATAATATATATCATCGAAGAGAAAACAAGAGTCATAATTTGAACGACGGACCGCTTGAAGCCTGGTACCCCATACCTTCAGTGGCAGGAAAGAGGTCGGTTGATTTGGTGATGGCTCTTGCCAATGCTGCCATGCCAAGGAAAAACGCCGTATGAACATTCGAGAGTTGCAAAATTTCTTCTCAGAAAATAGTTATTATTGAAGAAAGTTATGAATATTTTCCTTGAAATTTTCAGGAACTTTAGGTGAAATTGACAACAAAATTATCTGGAAAATGGGAGGAAAAATATTTAAAAATTTTCCCGAAAATTCGTGATTTACCGAGGAAAATGTGACAACGCCTGGAGGTTCATACGGCGTTTTTCCTTCGCTCGGCGGAATGAAGCTCCATCTCGCAACAGGGATTTGCAATTGGACTGCATTTTGCACTTTGGACCTATAAATTCTGGCTCATCTGAAAAAACACTTATGTGCATAGGGAAATCAATGACACATACGTTGTTTTTAAACCGGGCCGGAATTTACAGTTCCTAATTGCAATCTGTAGTCCAATAATTAAAATTTTCCAAGAATACTATTGCTAAAAACCTACTTGTTATGGTGTCTTATTTTAGGAATTTTGCGTGATGCAAGTTGAATATCAGAATTACCTCTTCACGAATGAACCAAAAACTCAATGGACCAGTAGACAAGGGCATTCTGATACTTGGACTGCATTTTGAAATTTGGAACCATAAATTCTGGCTCTTCTGGAAAAACATTTATGTGCATAGGGAACTAAAGGCGCATACGTTGTTTTTAAACCGGGCTAGAATTTATAGTTTCAAATTCCAAAATGTAGTCCACTTGTGCCTTAACCAAAATTTCCCCCAAATTGGGTAATTCAAATTTCCTGTAACCTCCTCAAAAAACATACACCAGTATGCTTGAATTCGTACCTTGTCCGCTGGTCCATCGTATCCAGACGTATTAAGTAAGCGTGAACGCCTTCATTTCTTGTGCATGCGACACGGGCATCCCTTAAACATGTATAGTTGCATCCAGACGTTGCCATTAAGTAAGCCAGAGTGCATTTAGCACACCTCTCTATACTTCAAATTCGTTCTATCATAGTTCATTCCACTCGATCTTAAACAAAATTTTTGTTAAGAAACATGTAACACAATGTTTAAATTCATACCTTGTCTGCTGGTCCATCGTATCCAGACGTATTAAGTAGGCGAAAGCGCCTTCATTTCTTGTGCATACAACATGGACACCCCTTCAGCAAGAATAGTCGCGTCCAGACGTTGCCATCAAGTAAGCCAGAGCGCAATTAATTTTTGGTGCATATGGCACACCCCTCTATACTTCAAATTCGTTCTATCATAGTTCACTCCACCCGATCTTAAACAAAATTTTTGATAATAAACATGTATCAGAGTGCTTGAATTCGTACCTTGTTCGTGTTATAGTTACGAGTAGAAATGTAATGAGATGGAAATAAAGATCAAAATATCCGATTTCGGCACCAGCCGGTTATCATTAACGTAGAACCAACGAACCACGGGTGATGGGTTGAAAACGAAAGAAGCAAAAATTTAAATAAAGTTTTTCACTATATTGATCCGAGATAAAAGTTGAATGTTGCACAAAGTTTGGAAAAGAAATTGAGTGGATGAAAAGTTCGTCGAAATTCCACACAATATCGACAGTGGCGTGGCGTGAATTGCGATGTATCGATTGTTCTGCCATTTAAACCTATGGTAAATAATCGATTATTAAGGTGTTCACTGCGAACACCCTGTTTATCGATCCTTTTCCATAGGTTTAAATGGTATAACAATCGATAAATCGCAAAGCACGCCACGCCACTGAATATCGAGATTACGCGCAATGATGCACTTTCACGTTGAGAAACTTGTCGAAATGGATTTGGAAATGGAACACTTGACACTAAAAGGCATAAGAAAACTTTTGATCGAAAGATGTTAAGAGAGAAGTAACGTCTCACAAGTCTGAGAGATGGAAAAAGACCTCGATTTAGGCGCAGCGCACGCTTATATGGACTTGCTGACGTCTCGGGTGGTGAGACACCAAGTCCACGCGTGATTGGACGACTATAATCTATGTAGTCATCAGATGCAAGTCTAGTAATAAAAATTAATGTAGATGGATCGAATGATTGGAAGTAAAGAAGATTTGAGATCGAAAAAGAGAGTTTTATGAAATGAAAAATGAATATTGGAAAACAATTGAAAAGTTTTGACAGTCCGCTAGTCCATCGTATCCAGACGTATTACGTAAGCGAGAGCGCCTTCATTTCTTGTGTATGCAACACGGACACCCCCTCAGCACGAATAATCGCATCCAGACGTTGCCATTGAGGAAGCCAGATCTCCTTTCATTTTTGGTGCAATTAGCGCACCTCTAACTTCAAATTCGTTCTATCATAGTTCGCTCCTACCGATCGCCAAAAAAATTTTGGTTAAGAGCAGTGGCGTGGCGTGCTTTGCGATATATCGATAGATCCGTCATTCACACCTACAGAAAAGGATCGATTAACAGGGTGTTCGCAGCGAACACCCTAATAATCGATATTTTACCATTGCTTCCAAGAGAGAAATATCGAAAATCGATCATTTACGCCTCCCCACTGGAAAGTTCAGAAAGTTCAACCTGTAGGGTACCAGTAGGGTAGGTTTGAACTTCGACACCAAGAAAATACAATTTTTCAACGATTTGAGCGCGCACCGTGTGGTATACGCGCAATGCATGAAGTATCATGCAGGCGCACCGTGCTGTACGCGCAATGCATGAAGTATCCTGCGGTCTTGTAAGGCGCCATTATGCGTTCCATGCCGTGCGCTCTAGCCTCGCACCGACCGCACTGCAATTGCCGCGATTGTTCGAACTTGTGGCGTCAGCGTTTTCAGCTTATGATTTTGAAGTTTTGTAATTGGAATTATTGTCATTTCAAATGATAAAATATTAAATAAAAACACGGTGTTGGTATATTTTCTTACGAGCAACGAGCAACGCACTCTCTCTAGAAAGCGATATTGACTTGTGACTTAAACAGGGTACGCCAGAAGAAAGTATCCACCTTGTCCGCAATCACATACCTCGTTTGCGATGTATCAGAAAAAAAATCTCCGCCTCTATTTTAATTTTTTAAAGGAGAAAAAATTGACATCATCCTTTAAAGTTTTTGCAGAATTTTCTCTGCACAGCGAGGAAAAATCACGGCAGTTTTAAAGAATTGCCGTTGGGTAATTTTTCGTTTAAAAAATAAAGTATGACAGGAAGTCTACGATGTCGCAAACCGAGTTATGTAATTGCCGACTTACACCGTCGATGTAGCAGAATGCTGAAATTTCTAACTTGACTAATGGTCCATTTCCTTTTTATGAGTAAGTCAAAAAGTCATGATACACTTTTTATGGAAAGGTTCCTGGACGCGGACTTTAACCCCCGCTCTCCACTAACGCAACCCGGAATGCAAGCTCACCCCCCCCCTTCCCTTCCCGTACGGTACCTATCTTCTCGACGACTCCTACGAGCTATGCTAAGGGAAATCGGTCTCTCGTTACGAAAATGCAGTCAATTGAGTAATGAAAGCTTCGATTCTAATTAAAACAACATCTTCCGCTTCAGCCGCACTTTGCTTCATGCATTTTTCATTCATGGATCATTGCTGACTTCAGGACTTGTTTACACTGAGCCCGGTCACCAAATGACCATGACACACTGATCTTGGCCGCACTGTGAAGATCTGGTCATGGGCACCGGTTAGCGGAAATAGCCGCGATTTTCCCACGGCGCGCCACAGCATGCATAATACCTCGCGAAAAATCTTGTGTGTATGTTGAGCGCTATGTTGCCGGATTTTAGGCGAAAATCGGACATTGAGGTTGAGAATGTTGAGGCTTTTCAGGGTCGGTCCTCCGGCGCACCCATTAAATCATTGTAAATAGCATGAGTTAAAAAAATTAGGATTAATACATTAGTGTACACTGAAAAAAAATTCTCGGCGTTTTTACCAAGGTCCGTTGGTACCTTTACCATCCCACTTTTTTTTACCAATCATCGGTAATTTTACCAAGACAGACTGGTAAGCTCACCTAAAAACCGGTATTTTTACTGTTTTTTTCAGGTATAAGAATACCACTTTTATTGGTAATCAATTCCCGGTAATTTTGCCATTTTATCTCGGTAATTCTACCACAGTCGATAAAAAATATTGGCGTTTTTATTAAGGTCCAGTAAAATTACCGAGAAAGTTCAATAATGTTACCGAGATTTCTCTGTAAAATTACCAATTCAATAAATGGTAATTTTACCAAGAAAAAACTGGGATCAAATAGAACCCTGAATTCTTGGTAGTTTTACCCTTTTCCTAGTAAATACAGCGAGATTTTTTTTTCAGTGTAGTCAACTACATATATTTAATAAATAAATAAAAAAACACGTAATATATCAAAACCTGAGTGTCAATACTTTTCAATTGTTTTCCAATATTCATTTTTCATTTCATAAAACTCCATTTTTCGATTTCAGATCTTCTTTACTTCCAATCATTCAGTCCATCTACATTAATTTTTATTACTAGACTTTCATCTGATGACTACATAGATTATAGTCGTCCAATCACGCGCAGACTGGTTGTCTCCCTACCCGTGACGTCAGCAAGTCTATATAAGCGTGCGCTGCGCCTAAATGGAGGTCTGTTTCCATACCTCAGACCCATAATATTGTTTGGAAATTCGACGAACTTTTTATTCGCTTTTCTTTTCTAAATTTTGTGTATCATTTATCTGTTATCTCAGATGAATATAGTAAAAAACTTTATTCCAAACTTTTCGGCCGAAGTTGCGAGAGCAGCGCGTTTGAATTTGGATGGAGAACGATTTTCGGTATTACGCTTTCATTTCTTCAATTATTAAATAATGTCACATATGCTGAGAGCGTAGGGGGGGGGGGTACCTAGCGACGGGCAAGCAGGCAGCGACCGGACGACCGCTCGAAACAGCTGAACTTTACTGGTCGATAAACGTAAGAAAATTTGAGAATATCGAAAAAACAATTACAGCCTGAAAATCTACAGATCAGAGGCTTTCATTTGAAACAAAAACCATGCAAATCGGTCCGGTGGTTCTCTCAAAGTCAACGTCCAAAAATTCGGACCTCAGTTTTAATACATTGGAGAAAATTTGAGAAAATTATAGGAGAAAATTTGAGAAAATTATAGGAGAAAATTTGAGAAAATTATAGGAAAAAATTTGAAAAAATTATAGGAGAAAATTTGAGGAAATCGATTTTCTCGAAAAACAAATTACAGCCTGCAAATCTTCAGCTCAGGGGCTTTCATTTAAATAAAAAGATCAGGCAAATCGGCCCGGTGGTTCGCTCAAAGCTAACGTCCAAAGATTCGGAACTTTGTGTTTTAATACAGGATGGGAATAATTTCCTCTCCCATGTTTTTAGCTTTTTCTATGTCACTTCCAGTTTCTAAAGTGTCCTTATCGGAAGAATGTTAGGGTTCCTATGCTGCCATGCTAAGGAAAACCGCCGTATGAACATTCGACAGTTGCCAAATTTTCTCCGATAAAATGTTGTTTTCGGGAGGAAGTCATTCATATTTTTTCCGAGACGTTTTCAGATATTTTAGAATAAACTGCGAACAGTGTCGGCTGAAAAATTGGAAGGAAAATAACTTTTCCAATAAATTCGTATTTTATCAAAGGCAACTTGGCAACGCCCAAAGGCTCATACGGCATTCTTCCTTGGCACGGCATTATGCTGTCGTGCGAAAGGAGAAATTCGTATAGGCCTCCAGGCGTTGCCAAATCTCCATAACAAATCACACATTTTCGGGAAAGTTTGTAGATATTTTACTAGAATTTTGTTTGTAATTTGATGCCGAGTGTCTGAAACTTTCAAGGGAAAAAATTCTTACAGTTCTAAAGGAATTTTGAAGAAAATTGAATATTTTCTGATAGGCAATTTCGCAACATTTGAATGTTCATACGGCGTTTTTCCTTAGCACGGCACGCAGTGAATCAAGTTAATAGGAAAGCTCGGACAAAATTTGGAAACTACAAACGCTTCTAACTCCGTTAATACAAAATTATGTGTGTGGATTAATACAAAAGAATCGATTATTTAGGTTTTCGTTGCGAACACCCTGCTCATCGATCCTTTTACATGGGTTAAAAGGCAGATCATTTGATCTATCGCAAAGCACGCCACGCGACACACTGAACCGAGTCGATAGGAGAAGTCGGACAAAATCTGGAAACTTTGAAAGCTTATATCGACGGTGAAACTACCAAACCACGTATCTCGGTTTGCGACGTCGCAGACTTCCTGTCATACTTTATTTTTTAAATGAAAAACTACTTAACGTCCAGTCTTGAAAATTTCTGTGATTTTTCCTCTTTGTGCGGAGAAAATTCCGTGAAAATTTGAAGGAATGATATTGATTTGGTCTACTTTAAAAAAATAAAATGTGAGCGTAGATTTTTAAACACCGCAAACGAGATACGTGGTTTGGTAGTTTCACCGTCGATATTTGTTTAAATACGAGAAGAAAAATTTCAAATGTAGTCTCATTGGTTTTTTCGTAAAATTTCCTCTTAGCAACACCCCTTGAAATCGAATTTGTGACGAAATGAACATCAAAATTTGAAAATTCCAGCCGAAAATTTTAATGTCCGACTTCTTCTATCATAGCTCATTCCATTGAGCGCCACTGGTGCCGCACAGTGGACCGAGTCAAGGGGAGAGGTCGGACGAAATTCGGAAACTTTAAGAGCTTATAACTCCGTTTATACAAAACTTTGATGTTTTAAAAGTGGTTCCATTGGTTTTCTCGTAAAATTTTCTTCATATAGCACCCCTTGAAATTTAAAATGTGACGAGTTAAAAATATAAATTTGCAGTTTTATTCAAAAATTTCATGACCGACCTCTCTGATTGACTCGAACCACTGTGCGACATCATGATCTAGATGTTGGACGCTATGTCTAATAGTTTCAACCGTTTTTGTAATTGTAACGGTGATAACGATGTAAAATTTGCTTCCAGGCGGTCTCAAAATGGCGTGCAGTTCCCTGGTCGTGTGTCTCATTTTCTGGACGGCCCTTCAGTTTGAGACCCAACCCGTCATCCTGGCCGCCCTGGAAAACGCGAGCAACGGTGTCGTATACCCAGTGAAATCCATACAGGAGTTCATCAGCTCATACTCGAGTAAGTGAAGCTCATGTCACTAGATTTCGTCCAAAATTATCAAAAATTGTCTAAAATGATCAAAAATTGTCTAAAATCACCAAAAATTGTCTAAAACTACCAAAAATTGTCTAAAACTACGAAAGGTGGCTAAAATTATCAAAATGTATCTAAAAGTATCAAAAATTATCAAAGATAGTTTGAAATTATCTTCACTGCACAGAGATGTATTTACCTAATTGAATAGATATCGCCACCATCCGGCCAAAGTATCACAAGCGCCATACGACGTTTCAAAATTTTTGCCGCCATTTTATTTTCTTATAGAGATTTCGTTCAACAAAGCTGTCCGAAAATTTCACTGAATTTTATCGGCAGCACAAAAAAAAATTCAGTGAAAATTTCAGACAGCTTTGTTGAACAATTTCACAGTAAAAAAATAAAATGGCGGCGGAAATTTGTAAACGTTGCATGGTGCTTGTGATACTTTGGCCGGAAGGCGATAATATGCCGCAGGCAAATAGGCAGCTCAGGCATTTTATCAAATGCCTACGCAAATAGTCAAATATTCTTACGAAGTTTTCAGATCGAGCATCTGAACACTTTAGATCTAGCTGCCGAGGTTCGGATCACACATCTGAAACTTCAGTTCTTACATCTGAAGTACCTCAGATGTGAGAGCCGAAGTTTTTCGGATGTGAGAACCGAAGTTTTTCGGATGTGAAAACCAAAGTGCTTCAGATGTAAGAACTGAAGTTTCAGATGTGTGATCCGAACCTCGACAGCTAGATGTAAAGTGTTCAAATGCTCGATCCGAAAACTTCAGAGATACACATATGACTTAAACTTCGGGTCCCACGCACGAAGTTTTTTTCTCCGTGCAAGAGGCCCATTCATTGCGTTGTTGAAATCAGGAGCTTTCTGTCATTGTTTAATTTACTTTCAGAAGACTGGCACGAGTCGGAGCAGAGCAGAAGCCGGCGCTCTATGCGGCACATTCCAGTAATAGATTCGCACGAGCTGTCGGCGACGATCTCCTACGCGCAGGGGCTCGTGTCCAAGTCGGAGCGACACGAGACGAGCATCTCCAACGCCGGCGTCCACGTCCAACAGGGCACCCCCGCCCAGGGACAGTTCGTCGACTCCTTTCCCGAGACGGGCGCCCTCAGCCTCGCCAAAGACGCTCTCATCGTCGCCAAGGCCTCCCAGTACTTCTCCAATAAACACTGCCTCAGGTATGAAATATGATAGATGCTCTGCAGCCCGTGACAAGATATTCAATAAAAAAACAAGCGAGAAAGTTCTAATACTGTCGTATTAGAAAAGCGCTCAGGTGTTAGTCAATGTATTTAGTGAAGAAAGGAAGTATAAACTCCGTCGACTTGGCTGGGAAATGGAAATAAAACATCAGCTGATAGCAAACAAAGGTTACCAAGGAAACTGTAAACGCGTTTTTTCGTTTCCCGAAAATGATAGTCACCGTTGAGCTCATCAGGCGCGTTTTTTTTAGGCTTCATTTGAGTTCAACGATCAATTTCGATAAGAATTACTCTACCGCTAAGAAATTTTCTTATAGATAAACGATCGAAACTACCTGCGCATTACGTTAAAAGCGTAAAATACGGTTTTCACAGCTTCATTTGTTTTAAAACTGGACTCCCCCAAAAAGCCTACACATCGATGAGCTGGTGCGCCATTTAAACGAATTAGCACTAGTATACTAGTACTCTAGAGGCAAGTCGAGGTCGAGAGGTCTAGAGGTCGAAATCAAAAAGCGCTGCCTATCGGCTGAGCGCTTAACAATTTAAAATGCGGGTAACAATGCTAAAATTTCACATACACAAAACCAAAACGTTTCGGCTGAAAATTCAGCCATCCTCAGTTGGATGAATCAAAATAAAAATGGGTAAAAATCTAAAATAGTACCTGATAAGTACCATTCAGTTGGAAATCACCAATTGAAAGGTACCTTTCCAATTGAAAGGTACTTATAAGGTACTATTTTAGATTTTTAACCATTTTTATTTTGATTTATCCAACTGAGGATGGCTGAATTTTTAGCCGAAACGTTTTGGTTTTGTGTATGTGAAATTTTAGCCTTGTTACCCGCTTTTTAAATTGTTTTTTTACTGCCTCAGGTAGGCTCCTGACATACTCATTTGCACACTGAAAAAAAAAAAAAAAAATAGTGAAGTTGATATAACATTCTGGATGTAAAAAAAGTGTGCGAGAACTTACAAAATGCTAAATTAATACTATAGCATTTACTTTAGCAATGTCAAGATGTATAGTTGACTGCCATAGCGGGTAATTTAACATTTTGCGAGTTCTTGCACACTTTTTTTTACATCCAGAATGTTAAATCAACTTCATTTTTTTTTCTGTGCATTCACTGATAAGGGGTGGTATATTTTTCTTTTTTCCTTTGGGTTTAAACTTAGTATATGTCGGAAAGTCTCTTGAGAAGCCCCCATAAAAAGGCCATAAAGTACAATCCTCTATTCTGCCGTGCTAAGGAGTGTCGCCGTATGAGCATCGAAAGTTGCCAAATTGCCCAGGATAAAACATGTATTTTTAATGAAAATTTGCGTATTTTTCCTTGAATTTTTCAGACGTTTTAGATAGAATTGCTAACAAAATTGTCTGAAAAATTCGATGAAAATTATTCACAATTTTTCCAGTACATTCGTTCTATATTAAAGGAAATATGACAACGCCTGAAAGTTCATACGGCGATCTTCCTTAGTACGGCAGTATTGGTGACACTATTAATTGGAGAGCTAAAATAGTCCTCACCGCGTATTATTCGGTTGTTTTCAATTCGCCTTCTGCTGCGTCTGCAGCAATTGTTGTTACGAATATGTTGTGCGTGCTGATTTGAGTTAATTACATACTCGACTCTCTGAAGGCGTTTTATGTGCGCAAGTAGCGCACCCTTTCGGAGAACAACAGAAGTGAGATTGAGTGAATCGCTCAATCCATACTTCACTCGTTCTCCGACGGACTGCGCTACTTGCGCACATAAAACGCCTTCAGAGAGTCGAGTATGTAATTAACTCAAATCAGCACGCACAACATATTCGTAACAACAATTGCTGCAGACGCAGCAGAAGGCGAATTGAAAACAACCGAATAATACGCGGTGAAGACAATTTTAGCTCTCCAATTAATATTGTCACCAATACTGCCGTACTAAGGAAGATCGCCGTATGAACTTTCAGGCGTTGTCATATTTCCTTCAATATAGAACGAATTTACTGGAAAAATCGTGAATATTTTTCATCGAATTTTTCAGACAATTTTGTTAGGAATTTTATCTAAAACGTCTGAAAAGTTCAAGGAAAAATACGCAATTGAAGAAAGGAGTTCATATGATAGGCAGTCTGCATGTTACAATCGGGTATGTATTCGATAGACATGAATCGAACGAAAAATTAAAGAGAACCGATCAGCACCTATTTAATAGACAAATAAATAAAGAGGCGGATCAATATTAGTAGAAAGCATGCAATAGTCATGAAAATTTCAAAGTGCGATATCTCGAAATCAGGATCAGCTAAGATTTTAAGTTTCCGCGATTTTAAGTCCACGCGTACCATAGACTCACCCCCTGCAAACCGTTTTTGGGTACATTTTTCTTGAATTTTTTTTTCTTCAAGACCACTGCACTGGGGGAAAAAAACACTTTGGATCTAGAGTCCAGACTCTTAAAAACATCGACAAGAAAAAATACTCTTGATTCAATCAGATTGAGCTTAAATCAAGAACTAAGCCTCTTAATTTGAGCGGATTTCCTTTCGATTTAAGCTTAAATCTGATTGAATCAAGAGTCATTTTTCTTGTCAATGCTTTCAAGAGTCTGGACTCCAGATACAATGTGTTTTTTTTCCAAGGTGTGTGACGAAAAAAGTTGCTGTTCGGACGAATCTTAATATTTTTAGCTGATCTACAAGAATCAAAACACGATTCGATGACCGCAGCGCAACTAGGCGTATCGGGCACTACTATTTCTGACTCAGGCATAAGATTACTTATGGATACACATTTTTACACAGCAGCCCGTGACAATAATGACACGAAAAAAGAGGGAGGAAAAATGGGAAACAATGCTAAAAATACACAACAAGACACCAAGACATTTTGGCTCAGAGTTGAGCCATTTTCAGTCGGAGAATAAGTAGAAGATAAAGAAAAAAGTCGAAAACCTAAAACCTACATGATGGTGGCCGAAATTCAAGGACAACAAGAATACAACGTGTTAATAAAGCTCTCGTTCTAAGAATTAACAAAGCCAGGCATTATCACTTATCAAGGTACATTTCAGAGACTCAAACGCACGGACAGAAAAGTGAACCAAAGACGGAAAGAGGAAAGGACGCATATAAAGGGCCTCTACTGGCCCCAAAATTCGAATGGTTCGAATAGTTTTGTACTCAAGGAATGTCATACATTTTCATAAATTTTTCCATGAATCCTCGAGATTTATCAAAAAGTAAAAGCAGTATAGGGTTCTTCAAATTCTCCACGGTTACCTGAATAAACCTTCAACAAAAAAAATTACTTTTCTTCAGGATTCTTTTAAACAATTTTTTAATCACATTTTAAGTCCTAAGAAACTGCAGTAGACAAGATATTTATGAGACTTATTAATTGAATTTTTCTGCCCGTTCATTTTTCTTAAACAATTTGTACCGAAAATATATTTCTTTTCACTTAAATTTTGGTCATTCCCCGAGAGCGGTTTTGATATTTGCGAGTTTCTCAAAATTCATTTTAACCTTAGTTGCTCTCCGGATATCTCTCAAACACTCAGCCAGGATTTTGTTTCGGGGGATTCATGGACGCAGATTGAGGGGGGGGGGTCGTCGGAGCGTCTTTTTCTTCCCACTTTTCATCCCGGTTTTTTGTTTCCTCGGCGCATAGTGGCTCGAGTCAATCAGAGGGGTTGGACTTGAAATTGTTGACTAAAACTGTAAATTATGATGATTATTTCGTCACAATTTAAATTTTAAGAAGTGCTTGTAGAAGAAAATCTTACAAGGAAACCAATGGGCCTTGTTTAAGAACCTCAAAATTTTGTATAAACGAAGTTATGAGCTCTTGAAGTTTCCAGATTTTGTCCGACCTTTCCTATTGACTTGGGGAGTCATATTGGGGAATCGTTTGGGAGTTACGCCCCGCCAAGTCTCTCTCCCCTCCTCTTGGCACTTACTAATAAAAATGTTAAAGGTTTGTACTCAGGTTACGATCGTAATTTTGTTTCACCAGACTCAAGATCGGCCCCGAAGAATGCGCCCGTCAAATCGCCGAGCTGTCTTTGAGCACGACGCCCTTGGGTCGGAGGTGTTCGGCGCAGTACACCAACCTGTTCTGCTCGGATCAGTACAAGTACCGCAGCTTCGACGGCTCCTGCAACCACCGGATGCATCCCGGATGGGGTCGCGCCAACACCGCTTACAGACGCCTCATCGCAGCGGATTACGATGACGGTACGCAATTCGAACCGAGCTCAATAAAAACGTCTTACAATTGGACTTATTTCTATCAAACGGAACTAAGCGCCAATTTGAGTTCCTTTTGAGGAATTTAGAATCCCGGATAGCGCGTTCTGTCAAACGGACCTAAGCGTCGTGGAAAAGCATTGCGATTATAGGACGGAATAAGCCGGACGCCCGATTCCGCCGCCAATCCAAGCCCCCTTCTACCTTCCTCACCCTACGGCGCTTAGGTCCGTTTGATAGAAATACGTCCAATTAGTTCAATGGCAATTCTTGAAAGCTGACAGCATTGTTTTCCTCCATTTTAGTGGCGTGGCGTGCTTTCAGACATATCGATAGAAAAGGATCGATAGACAGGGTGTTCGCAGCGAACGCCTTAATAATTGATTCTTTACCATAGCTTCAAATGGGGAAGTATCGATAATCGATCACTCACGCCTCGCCACTGAGAGACCTAACAAGAGAACCAAAATAATTCTTTAAAATTTTCGGACGATAATTCGAATAATGATTAGAATTCGACGAAAAAAAGTACATTTTATGAAAAGAAAATTTCAAAACCCTACATTTTTTATTTGTTTATCGATCTCTTTTCCTCTCGTTATTCTCAATAGTTTTACTTTGTCGATTTCGTTTTAATATTATCCCTCTGTGTTTTTCAGGCATTTTTACTCCTCGTGGGTTGACAAGGGGCCAAGAATTTCCAAGCGCTCGACTTTTGAGTACATCGCTTTTCTATGATGAAGACCGCCCAGACTATACACGGACTCTTGCTGTTGTCCATTGGGGCCAATTCATTGCCCACGATTTGGCCTTCACTGGAGTCTCCAAAATGTGTAAGTATATAGTCTCATAAAATGGATCCACTGCGCTGGTCACAGAATCGTGTTTTCATGCTCGATGAAAAAGTTCCCATGTAATTCTTATGTAAAAGTTCGCTAGGGTGCCACTAGTCTTCTCTGAAATCAGCTCTCCAGCTCAAAAAAAGCTCTCAAGTTGAGGACAAAATGGAAAGGATATCATACGCTACCCTGAGAGTCCACGTCTACATCAAGACAAACTCTCCATGCAAAGATAGGGAGCAAATACATTAACAGAGCTGCCAATTATTCGGGGACTCTGAACTAAAAACACGGCAACCCTGCTGATGTATTTGCTCCCTATCTTCGCATGGAGAGTTCGTCTTGATGTAGACGTGGACTCTTAGGATAGCGTGGGATATCCCCTCCATTTTGGTCTCAACTTAAGAGCTTGTTTTGAGCTCGCTGCGTGCTGCCAGCACGAAACGGGCATTGGCGCCTACAAACCTAACAGGGATACTTCGCGCATTGCGTTATGCGTGAAGTATCCCTGTTAGGTTTGTAGGCGCCAATGCGCGTGTCGCGCTGGACGACTTCGCCCGCCGCGCCGCGGCGCTTCAAGCAACTATTTTGCAGCAGAAGTGTTGCACAGTATCATACAAAATTGAGGGCGCTCCAACACATTAAATATGACAGTCATACTTTAAGAGCACCGAGCTTTCCTCGCAAAATAAATCAAGATACTACGGCAGAAAAAGAGGGAGGTTGTCCAAAAACTCACCAAGACCTACCTTGAGCCTCAACTTGAGAGCTTTTTTTGAGCTTGGAAGTTGATTTCAGAGAAAACCAGGAGCACCCTCGCGAACTTTTACATAAGAATCAATAATCAAATCGCAAATTCCTCACACATGCAACATCTCCATTTGGCAACACCGGATTTCTTCCATTTAAACCTATGTTAAATAATCGATTCTTATCGGAGCACCTGGCCACTCCAAGAATCGATACACTGCTTGCGTAGCGCTGAGCGTCGAATTCTAGTCTGACAGACTCAGGTATTTCGGGCCTGCCGAATCNGGGGGGGGGGGGGGGGAGAAGGGACCGAGAAGAAGGAAAAGAGAAATAGGAAAAAGAAGGAAAATCTGAATAAGAGGGAAAATTGGAATAAGAAGGAAAAGTGAAATAAGAATGAAAGAAAAAGAAAAAGAAGGAAAAGAGGAATAAGAATGAAAGAAGAAAGGAGGTGGTGGATGAAAAAAGAAAAAGAGAGGGAAAAGTTGGGGGAAAACGGAGGAAAAGGAAACTGACCTACCGGGTACTCTTTTTCCTTTCTCCCCTTCTTCCTCCTTTCATATTTTTTTCATTTCTTTCTCTTCTTTGTCCTCTTCCTTTTTCTATTATACTTTTTCTCCTTCCCTTTTCCTTGAACGAATAATGGGTTAAATGGAGAAAAGCAATGTTGCCGATTTGCTGGATCCGCCAATGATTGATTGATTTTTTTTCTCAAATGAATGTTTTTGTTTTTGTGACAGTGAATCTGGACAATAGAATCAATATTCAAATCACAAATTCTTCACACGTGCAACATCTCCATTTGGCAACACCGGATTCCTTCCGTTTAAACCTATGTTAAATAATCGATTCTTATCAGAGCACCTGGCCGCTCCAAGAATCGATCCATTTCCATAGGGTTAAATGGAGAAAAGCAATGTTGCCGATTTGCTGGATCCGCCAATGATCGATTGATTTTTTTTCTCAAATGAATGTTGTTGTTTTTGCGACAGTGAACCTGGACAAAACCGTGAGCTGCTGTCAAGAGAGCGGGGCAACCTTGTCTCCACGTCACATTCACTCCTCATGCATCCCGATCTCAGTGCCCAAAGATGATCCTTTCTACTCAAAACACGGCCAAACGTGCATGAACTACGTCCGCTCTCTGAACTCGATGCGGGCTGACTGCCACTTCGGACCTGCAGAACAGGTGCGGCTTGGAAGGAAAATAATTATAAGGGGCTTGGAGGACGAGGCGACGAGGCGCAAAAGTGAAATTTTTGCTATTTCGAGAAGTACATGTTTGAAGTTTAGAAATTACATGGAGCCTTATCGATTTAAAAAACTTTCGTTGAAAAGTACCAGAATAGAGTCAGACACTAGAAATGGTATTAAAATACATTAAAAGTCACCGGTCAGAGGGAGAATTTCGTTAAAAAGTCTAGCAAAGTAGTTAAAAGTCGAGCAAAGTCGTAAAAAATTGCGAGTCGCGTCCAAGAAGATGACCGATGATCCGTATTTATAGGAGATTCTGAGTGTACTGAAAAAAAAAAAAAAAAAAGAAAAAAAAACACTCCGGCTGTGGAAGACATACTTACGGGACCATCCGCGATCCAGGCTCAGAGGCCGAAAGTTCCGGGCGTGGCATCCGGAGCAATTTAAGCTACGGCTCCAGTACCCGGAAGTTCTCTGAGCCCGGAACGGACGGTTGTCTAAATAGCCCGTAACTTTTTTTTCTGAGTGAGAGTTGAATGATCTGAGGGACTTGTTTTTCGGGAAGTTGTAGATGAACCAGGCGACGCACCTATTGGACGGATCCATGCTGTACGGAACTAGTCAGGAAAAGGCGAAGGCGCTGCGGCAGATGAGCGGTGGCAAAATGAAAACGCAGATCGACATGGACGGACACGAATACCTCCCCGTTTTCACCCCCGACAAGAAAATGGAGCGCTGTCAAATTTCACGCAACTCTTCCACCTGCTACGAATCAGGTATTTTATCCTGCGGGCTGATTGTTGAAATTTATAGACAAAGTGATAGATAAAGAGAACTTAATGAGTATGAAGCTATCACTTGATTAATTTGGATGATCCTCACAGACAAAGGGAGGAAATCATGGACTAACTAAAGGGTCTCTCGTGAGTTGCCGTTAGTTAGTCTATTACCTACCTCCTTTGTCTGTTGCAACCACCTGCTTCCATCAACAGGAGCCCTCCATATCCTTTTCGTCTTTTTTGTCTATAGCTTTGTCTATCCCGCTCCTCTGCTTTGAAAGAACATTTTGTGCCGGAGAAAAAAAGGCTTTTACCGGGCGTCGTTTTATTAGGAAACGTCAATCCCGTTTGGAATGTTGTAGATTTCCCGTCATATTTTATTTTCTCATCGGAAAACTAGTCACACAGGGTGAGCGAAAAAAAAATTCGCTCGGAATCATTTGCGACTAGGGAGGATATTATCAAGTTGAAAATGATGAAAATTCGTCCAAATCGCATCCACAGTTTTTTCCCCATCAAAAGTAGTTTTCAATTTTGTCTCCTCTAATGCCACAATTTTCTCGTCAATTTTACCTTGTAATTTTTCACGAACGGTATATTTGCGTTACGGCTGGTGAAAATGATTTTATTCAACACACAAGAGCTAAAAATTTTGCTGGATTGATGCGGTTTTGAGGTCCCGAAATTAATTAGAATATTTAAGAGTTCAACTTGCTGAAAATTGCAAGCTCCCGGAAAATGTTGATTTCCTCAACCGCCTGATATGATTGGATCGTCAATTTGCTTATAACTTAAAATTTTCCTTCATGAATTTCCAGGTGACACCAGAGTAAACTCTCAACCTCAGCTTACACTGATGCACACTCTATGGCTACGAGAGCACAACCGGCTGGCCGAACAACTGTCCATTTTGAATCCCCATTGGAACGATGAGACCGTCTATCAAGAGGCCAGGAGAATCGTAATCTCTCAAATGCAACACATCACCTACAGTGAATGGCTCCCCGTTATCTTAGGTAGAAAATTAAAATATTTGTCATTTTAAGCGAGATAGAATTCCTCATTCGAATTGGGAATGGAGATGTTGCATGTGTGAGGAATTTGCGATTTGACTGTTGATTCTCATGTAAAAGTTTGCGAGAAACTCGATGGTGCCACCGGTTTTCTCTGAAATCAACTCCCAAGCTCGAAAAAAGCTCTCAAGTTGAGGCCAAAATGGAGGGGATATTCCACCCTACTCTGAGAGTCCCTCTCTACATCAAGACAAACTCTCCATGCGAAGATAGGGAACAAATACATTGGCAGTGATGCCGTGTTTTCAGTTTTAGAGTCCCCAAATAAAGTGGCAGCCCTGTCAATGTATTTGCTCCCTATCTTCGCATAAAGAGTTTGTCCTGATGTAGAGGTGGACTCTCAGGATAGCGAGGGATATTCCCTCCATTTTGGCCTCAACTTGAGAGCTTTTTTTGAGCTTGGGAGATGATTTCAGAGAAAACCAGTGGCACCATCGTGTTTCTCGCGAACTTTTACGGAAGAATCAACAGTCAAATCGCAAATTCCTCACACATGCAACATCTCCATTGGGGCTGTTGCGCACAAGAGTACCTCAGTAATAGCGACTGTTAAATAAGAAAAAAAATTAAAAAAATTCCTCAACTTTATGGATACAGCTGTCAAAAAACTGTTGAAATGTTGTTCTTTCGATCCGCAGTGACTGAAAAAACTGCCCGCCGACGCGAGAAACTTGAAAAAAAAAATTGTTACAAACTACGCAGATTGCGTGCTGAGGTATGAATTTCAGACTTCATTGACGTGCCCAACGTGACTTTCGTGCAATTTTGCCCGTAAAGAGTATTTTGGACGTATTTCTGCCAAACGGAACTATGTGCAGTATGACTTGAGCCCTGTCATGCATGTATATAATGGGTCTCAGGGCTCATGTCTAAATGCACTTAGTTCCGTTTTGCAGAAATACGTCCATTTATATGACTGCATCTCTTGCGTGCAAGAGACCCATCGCACAAAATTTTAAACGGTTAAAATGATTTTCCTTTCTTTCTTTTTTTTTCTTTTTTTCTTATTTTCTTATTTTTTTTCTTTCTTTTTTCTTCTTTTTTCTTTCTTCTTCTTTTTTTCTTCTTTTTTCTCTTTTTTCCTTTTCTTTTTTTCTTTTTTTTAAATTTTGTTTTAGTACATTTTAATTTTTTTTCTTTTTGCACAGGACGGAAATACACGAGCAGGAGAGGTCTGGCTCTTCTTTCTACCGGTTACAGTAATTTATACGATGAGGATGTCGACCCTTCCATCAGCAACGCATTCGGCAATGCAGCTATGAACTTCTTAGATTCAATGACCGAAGGAGTTGTTGGGTGAGTAGTTGTAGTAGTTAAAATCGTATGATTCTTTCTCTTCTTTCCCCGAAGAGGAGCGGCACCCCGTTTTTTTTTTTTGAGTGGCCTGGTTACACGCTCAAATTTCCGTCAAATTTCGATCAAAATGATGACCAAGATGGCGGTCGAGAGTTATCTAGATTGGTGAGTAAAATTAATTAAAACAGCGTGTTGATTGAAATAAGCATGAAATAAGCGCACAGTTGTGTGGAAATCAGATGCAGGATGAGCCCCACAGCTCCATCATCTACCATCAAATTTTTGCAGGTCGCAGAAATTTGATGGTAGATGATGCGCACCAGTCACCATTTGATCGGAAATTGATGGAAATTTGAGCGTATAACCAGCACACAAGTGTTAAAAATTAGGAACATACACCATATTTGCGCTAAATGAAGCAAAAAGTAACCTCTCTAAGCTATCACACATGCTAATTATTCAATTCTACATCAAGTCTCATTTAATACGACTTGTATCCATACCGTTCTCGAATCCAAAAAACATTTTACAACAAAAATACTGATGAAAAGTTGACATTTTTAGCAATAAAATTGCAAGCACTTTTTCCGCGGAGTTACAGTGTTATATGGATTACATTTTGCAATAAGGAGCCACTATCTCTGACTCTTCTATAAAAGCACCTTTCTACACAGGGAAACCAATGGCACATATGCTGTTTCTAAATTGGGAGGAAAATATTCTTAAATTTACCAGAAAATTCGCTTTTTATGAAAGGAAATTTGGCAATGCCTGAAGGTTTATACGAAGTTTCTCCTTAGTACGACAGTGAAGCCGATGCTTCTTTGGAAGGTACTGCAACATTGCAAATAGACGGTGAAAATTCCTAACCACGTATCTTATTTTCTGGTGTTTCAAAATATGAGCTTTAATTCTATTTCTTTATTGGAGAGGAAAAAAATAATATATTATTCCTCATGAAGTTTTCGCAGACTTTTCATCACACACTTAAGAAAAATTACGGAAGCTCAAAAAAATCGACGTTGAGCAGTTCCACCCAAAGAAGTACGGCCAAGAATGTATGGGAATATGTTCAAGTATGTCAGGGAGTCTGCAATTTCGAAAACTGAGATATGGACGTATTTCTGCCGAACAGAACAATGTGCATTAAGCAATGAGCCTTAAGACCCATAAGAATTTATGCATAACAGGGCTCACGTCATAATGCACATAGTTCCGTTTGATAGAAATACGTCCGTATATGATTTGGGAGTTTCACCATCGATGTTTAAATAACTCTAGTGATCCTTACTGTGACATGATGTGATTCGCGATATATCGATTGATCTGCCATTTGAACCTATGGAAAAGGATCGATAAACAGGGTGTTCGCAACGAACACTTTAATAATCGATATTTTACCACAGCTTCAAATTGGAAAGTATCGATAAGCCGATCCTACCTTGGTAAAAATTGGCGATAGGAGCTGCGTTTCAAAATACCATAGGAGTTCTCATAGCCGACTAAAAAAGGCTATTGAAAATCATATAGCTGGCTGTAGAAAGCGAAGCAAATCATATAGCCGGGCTATACGAACCTATATAAAATCATACAATCGGGCTATAGTTCCTATCGCCGGGCTTTGCACTTTATCGCCATAGGCTATAAAAGGCTATAAGAAATTGTGTAGAAATTTGTGTGCTTTGGAAATCATTAAGTTTGATATAGAACTACCTTAATTTTTACAAACCACACGTTATATTTTCCTTTAAAACATATTTTTTTTCATCAATTAAAATGAGAATAATCCATGCAGAGTGTGCAAACAGTTCAAAATCATGAGTTGAAAAACACTGACGCCGCGAGATTAAATATTAGAGCCTAACACAAAGCGGAGCGGCGACGCACTGGCGCCTACAAACCTAACAGGGATACTTCACGCATTGCGCAATGCGTGAAGTATCCCAGTTAGGTTTGTAGGCGCCAATGCGCGCTTCGCGCTCTCTGCCCACCCGCCGCGCCGCAGCGTGCCACGGCGTCTGAGGCAACTTTTTCACACCAGAGGTATTGCACAGTATCAGAAGACATTGAAGGCGCTTCAACATATTAAGAATGACAGGCATCCTTCAAAAGTACGAAGCTTTCCTCGCAAAATAAATCAAGATACTATTGCCCAAAAAAAGAGCGGTAGTCCAAAAACTCACTAAGTCCTAGCATCCGTAATTAGTAACGTTTAGCATACACTTTATCGCCAGGCTGTTGCTTAGTCGCCATCGGCTATAAAAGGCTATAAGACATTGTAATGCCGGATATAGAAGCTATTGGAAATCTTACAGCCGGCTTTAGATCTATGGTATTTTGGAACACAGATTCTACTGCCAATTTTTACCAGGGTAACTGGGCGTATTTATGCTAAAAGGAACTTTGTGCAATGGGTTTACATGCAACATAGTTTCTTTTAGCATAAGTACATTCAACTGATCTATAGGTAACTTCTGACCAAGAAACGGTGAGTTCTACCTCAAAGTTTAGTCTTGGTAAATGTATAAAAGTTTTTTTTTTTTTCGTGTGACTTTTTAGGCTTTACTCTGAGGACCGAATCACAAACGCGACATTCGCCTTGAAGAGTCACTTCTACAAGCCTGCAGTCGTACAACAAGATGACAACTTTGACCACCTCATCAGAGGCCTGGCCACGCAGAGTAGCCAAAAGATGGACCTCAAATACTCAACTGCTGTAAGTAGACCTCTAACTTAAACTGAATCAGTGAGAACGAAAATACACCAACTCGGAAAAATGACAAAAACCAAGACACACACAAAACTGCTCAAGAAGTGAAGAGGGTACTTTAAGAAAAATATTTTTGCTGCCGAAAGACAAGTAATTATGGACACTGGTCCAAGTTGCAACAGTTGCGCTATCTTTAACGAACTTTATGTAAATTAACTGTCTTTAATGGAAGTTGAGCTTTTTCGCGTTACCGAGTTGGTGTGTTTTCGTTCTCACTGATTCAAATTCTCAAGCTAAGTTCACCCTTTCATTTCTACAGCAAAATCTACCACGCTCAGAGATGGATAGTGAAATTTCATATGGCTCGAATAAATTTCACAAAAATTGAAATTTATTAATTTTTTTAGAATTATTAATTACACCTTTGGAGGTCTGAAAGCGTTTCAGATTGTCCTTCAGTCACGCATGAAATTTAACTCGAATTTTCATGAAATTTTCCATCTCTGCAGACCACGCGCCGTTATAAAATCTGGCACTGGAGCCGGCAATAGGTAACTGAACCTTGGGTTTTTTATTCCATATTCTGAAATTAACGAGTGAGTGGTTGACATGTGTTCGTTACCAGCTGATGATGGGGCCATCTCGACCCCAAAACGCGTCCCATAAAATTGTAAATAGCGCAAGTGAGTTCGCGAAATTTTAGCTCTTTTTTACAAGATTACATGGTGTTGTGTATTTTAGGACCGAAAATCCCGGGTACGAACTACATGGCCCATTCTGCCGTGCTAAGGAAGAACGCAGTATGAACATTCGAGAGTCGCCAAATTTCCTTTGGTAAAAGGTTTTTTTTAAAGAAAAGTTATGAATGTTTTTCCTTGAAATTTTTAGGAACTTTAGGTACAATTGCGAGCAAAATTAGCTGAAAAATTGGAAGAAAAATATTTAAAAATTTTCCCTAAAATTCGTGATTTACTGACGAAAATTTGGCAACGCCTGAAGGTTCATACGGCGTTTTTTCTTAGCACGGCAGCATTGCCAAGTGCAGTTTTGTGCTTATGTCAGGAGGGAAAAGATAAAATACTTGAATCAACTGCTCGCTTCCGATTGGTGCCGGATGACATCACTTGGTTCGGCGCGAAACAGGGGCTTTTTAAATGTCGAATTTTAAATTTTAAATTTGCGGAAACGCTGCACTTTTTGAACTGCGTTTTTCTCGGTTTTTCAGTTATTTTTTTGCATTTTTAATGAGCGCATCGTCTTCTACGCATCATTTTAAGCCAACAAATGTATTCGCAAGTCAAAAACTGTTCATGGTTTAGTGAGCCATTATTTCAATTCAAGATTCGTATTTAAAAGTAGAACTATCCATGCAAATGTTTTAATCGTCGCACGCAAGTTAAATAGATAAAAAGTTGCCGCGTGTTGTTAAAAACATAGGAAAATGGCGTCGTCTCCCATCTACGACTGCGTAGAGTCCCTTTATACTGAGAGTCGAGACAACATCCTTCATGGAGTCACAAACGGGAATAAAGATTACAGAAATTGAACGTTTTTCGTAATCTTTGATCGACCAATTCTCGAATTCCGTTCTTCGTTCCTTCCTTCATTCCGTTTGTTCCTTGCCGAACCCGTAATTCCCCGGTCCATTCCAGATTATAATCTTTGCAATCGGTGAAACTGTAATCTTTATTCCCGTTTGTGACACTGTGAAGGCCTAAAATACGGGAACCAATCAGAAATGGATTCAAATTGTCTTGACTCTCAGTATAAAGGGACTCTACGACTGCGTGTTCTCACCAATGCTGCCGTGCTAAGGAAAAACGTCGTATGAACATTCGAGAGATGCCAAATTTTCTAGAATAAAATGTTTATTTCTGAGGAAAGTTGTCAATATTTTTCCTTGACATTTTCAGACTATTCAGATCAAATTACGAGCAAAATTTCCCTGAAAATCGGAAGAAGAATGTTTATGAATATTCCCGAAAATTTGTGATTTATCAAAGGAAAGTTGGCAACGTCTAAAGGCTCATACGGCGCGGCGTTTCTCCTTACGTCCAACCGCGTCGGAAACAGCTGGTATTTACCACCAGACAAGGGACGAATTTAAGCAATCTGATACATGCTTCTTAACCAGAATTGCACGTAGAACAATATTAGCGCAACGAATATTACTGAAACTAACTCCTAACGAAGATATCAACGTTTTTTTCACATTGGATACGAGGAATTTGAACTGCCCGCTCACAAGAAACTCAAAGCTCTACGTGAGTCAAATCGCGCACCACAATGGTTTCAGCAAGCTTCTCAATCGAGCAATGTTCATTTCCCATCATGTGTTTTTCAAACTATAAGCAATGTGCTACAGCTGAGCCAAAGCGTCAAGATCGAGGTTGCCAGATTTTTATATCGCAGAGACTGTCATGATAACGTTTAGCACGCGATGTGAATCACGTAGAGCATTGAGTTTTCATAAGCGGGTGGTTTGAATTCACGCATCAAGAATCATTAAATATCTTCGTAAGGAGTTGATTTCGGTCATTTTCCTTGTGCGTATCGTGCTCTACGTAAAATTTTGGTTAAGAAACATGTATCAGAATGCTAAGATTCGTACCTTGTCTAATGGTCCATTGACCGGGGTGCGAACACTAACAGAACCGCTAATAAATAACCATAAAAACACGTATTTACACTTTAGTAATCACACATTTTTAATCAATCAATACATGTGTATCTTATCTTATAAACGCTTAATACACGAAGATCTGGGGCAGAGGACCCGTGTGCCAAAAAACAGAACATTAATACATCAATACAACTGTCAAAGAAAGTACGTTCTGAAAATTGTGTCATGCAAGACGTTTGAAAGTGCCCGCAGTAAACTGACACTCTGACAGTTTGGAATTCACAGTTCAGAAACGTAGTTATGAAAAAAAAGAAAGGAAGAAAAAAAACTATTTAAAATGTTTATCTTTCATACGTAGGGCTTTAATTTTTGGCTTAAAATATAACTTTAAGCCCCCTATCCATACACTGGGACTGTTCAAGTAACATGTAAGTCACTTAAGGGGAAAAGGAGATATGAGTATGTCTTGCTTTATAGGGTCCCAGTCTTACGTAAGGCTCCCATTTTTTTCCTGGGAAAAAATAACCTTTTTTACACGCAAAAATAGAAATGTTCCGTCTATTTTTCAAACTTTCTCCGATATTTTTCTGGAAGAAAGGAGGCTACGGATTCGGGCCAGACCTCCGTAATGCGAAATTGGTTGCCTTATACAGGTTCTTTGGAAGTTAGGGTGGGGGTGGGGGTGGGGTAAAAATCGGGTAAAATACCTCACGTAAAACTGGAGCGGCCCCGTGGCGCATATTCATCTTACAAGATATTACGAGAGTTGTTTTACGTTAAACAAATTTTTAGATGTTTCAACTCAACTTGGAGAGAAATCGGTGTTCTGAAAACAATTCTTTTGTGCACTGCAGTCCCTTTACCCATTGAAGTTCACTAATGAAATAAGAATGTAGCTATACGAAAGAAATTGAAGATCTTATAGATAATTATTACTATTATGACAAGTGATAATTAATGAGGTGATTGAACAGGTGATATTAATATGAAAAATTAGGTTAAATAAAGAGAAGACAGTATTGTCTCAAATAGATTATTGATATTTATGTGAATATAATATGTACATATTCCATTCTAACATAACATGTACACACTACACGGTGCACCGACACGGACTACACGGTTCCCGACGTGTAGGCACATAATCTCTCTAATAGGTCCGTGTCCTAAGTACAACTTTTTATAATTACTTAACTTTATTGTGTACGTAAATTTAATTTAAACACTATAAACTCTGTACAAGGAGACCGGCTTGCATTAATTAATAAAATGAGGGCACGAAAAATGCGCTTCGAGTACCCCGGCAGGTTAATACACGTAGACTTAAATAATTGTTGATTTTTAAGTCTGGCTTATTTTGTCGGAGAGGAGATTTGCTTTCAACAAGGTTTACGACTACGGGAATTTGAAAATTTCCGTCGCAGAATTGAAAAATTATTCAACTTTACTCATGTATGTAGAAGATAGAAGTGACACTAGTGGCAAGGCGCTGATACGACTATTGCTGCACGATGAATGTGCATGTTGCGTGTACAAAAAACTGAAGGCGCTCTGGATTTCTTTAAGCTATTACGTGCGTTCCAAGCTCGCAATGAAGGGAGATTTTGAAAGCGTACATGCCTTTTCTGAAACGCTTTGAAAAAAATTACAAAAACCTGTGGACTTTCGATACAGAATGAAATACTTGGATGAAGGAACTCTTCTTTTAGTGAAGGGACTTTGGCAATTCTCGAATGTTCACACGGCGTTTTCCCTTAGCACGGCAGTGAACCCCCAAAGACAAGAGACCCTCCACTAGTATCTCGGCTATTGTGGAAGCTCTTACTTTCGGGACTTCAACAATTAACTGTTGACTTACCTGCGTGGTTGAAGTTTAACAACGTGTTGGCAGTTTCGTTTTTCAAACAAGCCAAAACAAGTCGAAGTTTGGGAAACTTGTTTGGCTCATGACGTCGCTCGAAGATCATCACCCACCATGTAGGTAGGTTAACACTAGTCAACAGCCGAAAAANTCTCCGTGCACTAGTATCTCGGCTATTGTGGAAGCTCTTACTTTCGGGACTTCAACAATTAACTGTTGACTTACCTGCGTGGTTGAAGTTTAACAACGTGTTGGCAGTTTCGTTTTTCAAACAAGCCAAAACAAGTCGAAGTTTGGGAAACTTGTTTGGCTCATGACGTCGCTCGAAGATCATCACCCACCATGTAGGTAGGTTAACACTAGTCAACAGCCGAAAAAAGCGTGATGGCTGTTGCTCCCTTATAATTGTCCATAAAGAAGTGTTGAATAGAGATGTTGCATGTATGAGGGATTTGCGATTTGACCATTGATTCTTATGTGAAAGTTCGCGAGAAACACGATGGTGTCACTGGTTTTCTCTGA